TTTGATGTTTGTTCGAACGAGTATCTAACTCTAAGACTTCCTGACTGCAGGCGGTGCCCGATCTTGGACCCACTCTCCATCTCATGTTAGACTTCAAATCATGATCTTCATTTCACAATCTTGATCTTTATTGGAGACCCCTTCTTTAACAAACTTGAGATAAGTTTCTTCCTGCGATTATCATAATAGGCCGATGGGTCATGTTCTAATGACCCCTCATCGTATGATGCATTGCTTGGACTCAGGTATTTTAGAGTTAAATTCCAGAACACACTATACCTTCCTTCATGTTCTAATAACATATTAAAAGGTAGCCTTTCTAGCTACAAGCAACTATCGCGATTCCTCTACCGATCACTATGATTGTCTTTTATTTCAATCTTTCGGCTTAAGTCAGATGTTACATCAAACTTGATTCTCTGGACCACCTAACATACTCATTGTAGTCGGACTCAATTGGATATGACCACTAGGGTCGGAATAGTACTCATCTTCTTAGTCATTACCGAAAAGATGGTAACAACATACTTAAATAAAACGAAATCAATTACTAGTGCCTTTGGTAACCTTGTGACTTTCCCTGATCCAAGCGTGAGTCGTGTGCTCCCAGTAGTATAGGCCTCTACTACCATTCACACCTACTCATACTCATTCCAAGTATTGTCTCGCAATTCTCCAAGTTATTATCATAAAAACAATTTTAACACATGAAAATGTGTCTAAACAATCATATAATGTTTCCCTAGACTCTACTAGGACTTCCTGCATGCGTATCTTCAATCATCAATTCTGCTTCAACTCGGTTGGTGGCGGAAATGCAATACGATGAGACAACTTCGGGAATTACACCAATCATTCCATCATCCCGCCAATCGAAGGTGTACTTCGGACGTACTGTACTCCTCTAAACGTACTGACTGACATATTCTAAAGGCAAGATACCACTCTTACGATATCTTCTGATAGGTGTCACTCACTATCATAAGCCTTTTCATTTCCTCAATTTACTCCATTTTCTACGAGTCTTCACTATGACGTTATTTTGACGGAAGTATGAATTCATTGCATTGAGATGAGAATACAAATAAAGAAGATTTAGACGCGTAATCCTCCGTATTACTCCGAAAACTTGCATGCTAGTTCTAATACCGTATTTAAACGTTTAGAAATCTGAACACATAAATTTTCTAGATCCGACCGGCAACAAACCATAGATCCGATCAAACGATAACATAAAGCATCATAAATCATTTAGCACATAAAATCATTTTAGGCATCTTCCATAATTAACCTAGTGCTTGTGTCTATTCAGGTGTACTTCCTAAAATATATTAGACACACTGCTCACGATCATCGCTTAGCATTCTTAGTTTAAGTCTAGAAATACGTCCTTATTCCTAGTTCGCTTAAACTAATGCTCTGATACCAGCTGTGACATCCCCCATTTTTAATGCCAGAAAAGACCGATTTTGTTTATCCTTTATAAAAATCAGACTATCTCTTTTAATAAAAATGTTGCAGAGTTTGTTCCCAATAAAACATGATAAATACGTTACCAAGGCATTTCCGAATAAAAGTATTTTAATTCATTTTAAAACATTTGGGATGTCATCGTTAATACAGAAACATAAGCAAAAGCAGAACTTACATTCATTATCACTAGTGATTTATATCTCCTAAATCTCTCAATGTAATGTGACTTCAGATCAACACCTGCCATATAAATAAACTGAGTGAGTCAGGTTGGGAAACCTGGTGAGTATATAGGGTTTTCAACCCACAATAATATAATTATTGTGTTTAATCATCAAACAATTAACTCAATTACCCATCCCCATTATCTTCCTTACTCTTAAGAGTCTACCCTGAGAGTAATCTATCATGCATTCGTTCATTCTGAAGTCCCTTGCTTCCAGGGTTATAGGACTGACACTAAGTCCATAGCTGCCAACGCTCTTTCGTAAAGCACTAATTCCATAGATGCTAAAGTTATTCATCAGGTACTAAATCCATAGCTACCAGTATTTAGGTACTAAGTCCATAGCTACAACCGTTTATCTATCAGGTACTAAGTCCATAGCTATCAACATTTATTCAATAGGCACTAAGTCCATAGCTTCTAATTTTCACTTATATCATCTTTTATCTCTCGTCATTCATCTACCCATGTTATACCCAATATATTTGTAGATATAAAATACGTATACAGTTTAAATCATTTAAAACTTGTACAAAATTATTCATCCAGCATAGATAGCAAGTATACAAATAATATGCACACATAGCATGTAGTTTATATAAAATACTTCATATGTATGTGTAAGATGAAAGGGACCATGCACTCACAACACATAATATATATTAAATACTTCATATCTATGTGTAAGATGAAAGTAACCATGAACTCACAACACGTAATATATATTAAATACTTCATATCTATGTGTAAGTTGAAAGTAACTATGCACTCACTTGAAAAGGTGGTGACTAGACACTCGGACAGCACTTCGTTACTCTTAACATAATTTTCCTTTGACAAAACAATGGGTTTTTCTCAAAACCGGGCTTCGCTGGAGCAGCATTCCCGAGTTGAAAGGCTCATTTCTTGGAGCTCCGGGAGCCTCGGGGCTTCCTTCGGGTGCTAGAGGGGCTTACCTAGGCTTTAGGGGGGGGTTAGAGGCTATATAGAAGTTCTAGACAGAGAGAGAGAGAGAGAGAGAGAGAGAGAGAGAAAGAGAAAGAGAGAGAGAAAGAGAGAGAGAGAGAGAGAGAGAGAGAGAGAGGGAGAGAGAGAGAGAGATGGCTTGGAAGGTGTGAGTAACTCGGCAGCTATTGATATCTATTTATAGGCTATCTGGAGGTCAATTCACGTCTTGAACCATAAATTCACGTCGTGAGCTAGCTTGGCTCCAAGCTAGAGCATGGTGCTGACACGTGGCATCACACATAGGGTGGAAATCAATCGATTTTCAAAAATTCATAAATTTCACATACAAGCTCCGTTTTCGACGTTATTTTTTTCCACGTGTAAGTAAAAACAAGATCTACAATTTTGATTTAGACTCTGTCAGCTAATACTTGACCGATCTCAAATTTAACAATAGGAGGAGATTAGACTGTTAAATGACCGCGAAGAATTCGTAACTCCTTCATACGGACTCCGTTTTCGTCTGTCTTTTTACCATTGAATTCCTATTGATGAGATCTTCAACTCTCATTTAGGTTGCGAAGACCAAAAACTGCTCGAACTAAAATTCGAGTTTCGGGTCGTGCACTACTATGCCAAATCTTAGAAAAATCATAACTTCCTCATACGAAGTCAGATTTCGGGGTTCTTTTTTTTTGTATGTTCTCGGTTTAACATATACTACAACTTTTGCTTATATCACTTAGGCTAAAAAGTCCTTTATCATAAATTCACTATTTACGTCTCCCGGTGTCGTGCCGGTTTTGTCGTAAAACTTCGTCGGGTCATAACTTCTTCGTTATAACTCGGATTTCAGCGTTCTTTATATGTACGGAACCCTTAAGACATATTCTATAGCTTGGTTAAGATTATTTATTCTATATAATATTTTGTCAAAAAGTCTTTTACGACCCCTATTATCTCTAAATTGACTAGCTCGGATCTACGGGCGTTACATATGTTCACTAAAGAAACGCTACGTATTGTTGTAAGATTTCGACTAAAACTAACTTTTTATATCAAGTTTTGGAATCCGTTTACCTGATTTGAGTTTCTGATCCTCTGTTTTGGTTTAATTTATGTGTGTTCGGAATTGGCTTTCTATATGTTTATTTCAAGTAATCACTTTCGCACTCAATTTCAGTTGATCAAAATCGACTCACTGTTTGTTCATTTTTTTCATAATTGACTCACTGTTTGTTCATTCAGGTAGACTACCTGCTCGATTCAAACTTAACCCACTTATATTCTCAATCTTAACCTCGTATTGTTTTTCATTTTTTCATAATCAATCTCATTTGCAATTGTTGATAAGTTTCAAGTCATGTGGGCAATCCTTATTGTTGGAAATCGGTAAATGTTAAGGGTTATTTCATTATGCCTTCCAAGTGTTTGATGTTATACCTAAAGGACTAGATCGAAAAAAAACTGGGTCTCTTTGATCACAAATAATAATATTTGAGTGTTTTTCCGGCTAATATCTAAAATATGATGTGGATGGACACAACATAAATAGACTTTTTTCCTTTTGATGAGTGTTGTTTTTTTTATTTTTATTTGTTAATGTTCATCGAGGAATTTATAAACTTTTCAGGATCAAAACTTTGTAATATGAATGCAACTGAACCTCTTTGTATATTACTCATTATATGACCAGTGAATTTTCTTGTTGTTAATTTGGTATTACTTTTAATGAATCCATTGTTTGAGTGAATTGTTTTATTAATAATAAGAAATAAAAATCGAAATATGTTATAGGTATGAATTGAAAGACAAGTAAAATGCATACATCTTGTGATTATAAATTTGTATCAGTTAAAAGGTGATTTTATACATGTTATTTGAGCTTATATAGAAGAACACTTTATTTGTACTCTAAACTTTATATGATTTATTTGCTAGCTGATTCAAAGACTGCATTTTGGAGCACCATGTGAACAATTGAAAAATTGACAGTTGTCTAAAAAGCAGCTACTGTAACAACACATGAAGTGTAACATTTATGATGTCTCATATAATTTTATATATATTTCCTCCAGAATAAATATGATGAATGATCAGCCACAACAAGAAGCAAAACCACACCCACAGCCACAACAAGAACCAGAACCACAACGACAACCATAACCACGGGAAAAAAGAACAGCCACAAGACTAATCGATCATAAGATCCATAAGAAGTTGACTTCAACAATATTGATCTGCATGTTGGGAAGAAACAAAGTAAGTTTGCTAACGAGTGTGGTGTTATTACGAGGTCGATGATTTCTATTGAATATACGTGTTGGAAGAAAGTGTCAATTACTCAAAAGATATGCTATGGTCGACAACTAAGGTTCTTTATCTACACAAGACCCATTACATGTACTTTCATCTAGTCAAGATGTGTTATTAATACTTTGTATCCTTATTCTAAAACAAAAACAAAAACGTTGGAATATTCCGAATGACAATCGTAAAAAAGATTTGCTTAGAACATGCAATAGCCAGTGGAGATCCTTCAAGAAAAGGCTTAAAAAGAAATGTGATAACCAAAGAGATCCACTTGAGACCTAATCATATTTGGAAAGCAGTACATTACAGAGCTTTAGACAGAGAATATCATTAGAGGATTTCCTAGTGTGTTTGACTTTAATTGCACATAATTATATTACTTATTGTGTTGCATTGTTTTAACTGTGTTAATTAATTTCATTTGCACGAGATAAGTGAGAAAGTGAGGATGAGTTTAATGCATAATACGAATCCTGCCCGTATAGGACCACTTGGTTACAGGGGCAAGAAACCTGAGTGGGAACAAGAGATGACATCTGGTCAATTGATACCCCAATTGTTTCAGATAAAAATCGAGCTCTCACTACATTATGTTATGGCTAGAAGATCTAAAAATGAGTTGGGGTCGAACATAATACCGCCTACCATATAACCCATAGCGGACAAGCTTGTAAGAAAATTCTTTTAATCATTTATATCTAAGTAATTACTCTCACTAGTTTGCTATTTTCGTTAACAGGTTGATGTCCAGACTCAAATCTCAGAAGGAGATGTGGTGCTCAGTCTAGGAGTGGACTTGTTGACAAAGGTAATAGGACCGGAGCACCCAGGTAGTACCAAGGCTGTTGGTCATGATGTTGGATTGAGAAAAGGGATGCAAGGGACTGATAAAAAAAGATGAAAAAACATGAAAACGTAAGTGTTGAAAAAATGTAGGCAACGATAGATCTGATGGGCTCCCAACTGGTAAAGCTACAAGCACACTTTGACTTACAACATGGGTCTAGGAAACATGCTCCATATGATGTAAGCTTAGGGGTTCATCAAAATAATTGTGGCTCGACTCCAATATTAGATGCTTTGGATGTGATAAAGGTAAATGAGTGTATTTATTTTCCAGTAACATCTAGAAATAATAAAAACTAAACTTGTTAACCTGTTAGTAGAGAAATTACGCTCAGGACTATGGATGAGCAACAAAACTGAGTGCTAATGTTTTTCTAATTATTTTTTAGTGATAGTATACTTGTTTAACTGATTTAACTAATATTTTTTTTCTTAGATACTATAGCTAAAAGTGCTACCTATACTGCACTATGTACAAGAAGTAGCTACCGTATAATTTAATCTTTGAATTGTTTTGATATTAACTTACATAAATTGCCCTTACAGTTTTACGTTCTATTCATAAGTCACCCACTTAGAAACCCATTTTTTCACTTTTTACCTTTACAACCCAATTAACTTGACATTTGCAACCTTTTTTCCTTCCTTTTTTTTCAATTTTTTATCCTTATAATTTATATGTTATTACAATAGATACCTTTTTCTACTTGACATTTGAAGCCCTTTAACTTTTTTTTTTCATTTTTATCCTGAAAAACTATGTTTTTACATATACACGTTGCAAGATCGGTATATGCAATGGTATGGACTTTATATACTTTTCTACCAACAAATACAAATATAGATACTTTTTATCAACACAATTGTTAAATTTAACTAAAAATAGATTTGGCCCGCCGCAACAACTCTTTTTTATTTATTAATTTTTTTTTATAGTTTTGTCCTCTACACTTTTATAGATTATTCAAAAACATCAAACTTACAAATATAATCTCTAAAATTCTTCTCAACTTTACTTATATTGGACATTGTACTATTTCTATTTAAAATTACATTTTTATTAATTATTTAAAAACCATCCAACTTAAAAAAAAAAATAGTCTCTTAACTTCTCTCAACTTTTAAGAATTCACTTGATGCTTATTTCTTTTAAAATTTTACTGTTTTTAAGGTATGATATCCGTATGAAAAACACACATAGTAACCCGCGGCAAAGCAAAAGCTCAAATACTAGTTTTATTACAACATTTGTTTTAGAAAATGCAACATTGTAAGAATTGTGTTTGAGTTTACCTTAATATCATCATTTTGGTTGTATAATTGAAACAAAAGACTCTAGTTTTTTAATTAAAATGTTTTCTCAGAAGGGATTGAACTATAATAGATATACTTATAATGGTTAAAAATTCAAATATAATTATTACATTATTATGCACTTTTTTGTTTATTATCCTTCAAAGATCTTTTATTTTTATTTTTGTTTTACTATATGTGTACAATGCCTACCCATTGTGAATTGGTGTTACCCTATGGGGAGTTGGACCAAAAATGTGCTAAGGGATTGGTCTTTCCATATGGGAATGGGTAAATACACACCTTATCTTTACGAGAAAATCACCTGAAGGTTATGATAGACGACATCGATAGTAGATATGAAAATTTTCCTCCTCCTGTGATGACAAAAGAAGTTTCTAACCTACAAGGGGAGGTTGGCACTATAATTCAATGACACCGAATTGTAATTATTCTTGCAAATGTACATATGCCTTATCCTTTACTTTTTAAGCTACTATATATTCAAATGAACTAAAATATAGGAACAAAGAGCGAAGAAACAAATTCCAACCACAAGTTTGGTGCCAACAACTGCAAGGGCTGGTACAAACAAGAACATACCCAACCAAACATCCAACAAGGCGAGGCCGATTGAATATCTTCATGATTGCTTGAAGACCAACCAAGTGGTTAACATTGTAGCCGATTCTGGGATTTTGCTAGTCGGGACATGATTTTTCGGTTACATGTAAGGAATATTTTCGACTGCTGAGAAAACAAACAATTGATGCTACCATCATAACTGCTTGGCAACTGTAAGTCCATAAAATTTTTACTATTATTAGTTGACCATAACATTTTTGTTTTCTTGTTTCTAGGATTCTTCATTCAATGGTTCGGACACGTATGAACAAATGTGCTTTCTTGAACCCTTATAATATTCTAGGGAGGCATGCCAGAAAAACCCAGAGGGTGTCGTTAGTTATCTTTGTTGATTCCATTCATCTGCACCATGGAAAATTGTTTCTCATTGCACCATATTTGCAAAAGTACAATAATTTCTTCTCTTTATTATTATTATTATTATTATTATTATTATTATTTTTGTTTTCTTATTATTTATACTAAATGTTTAAACATTTCTAGTAAGCATTGGGTGTTCTTAGTGATTTCCCATTGCAATTGCATTGTCTATATTTTGGATTCTCTTAAGGATCGTATAGAAAAGTCTGCCGACTACCATTACCTGCTCAAAAAACATGTGGACATGTAAGAAATTACTTACATTATAGCAAGATACAAATCTTTTTATTTTTTTGAAGACAACACTTGTTTATTTCTTTTAAGTGCTTTCATAAGGTATGAAAAAGACACATCAACTCCAATTGGATGGATTTTTGCTGAGGTAATTCATCTTGTTATATACCAAAACAGATAATTGTTGTACTTTCATTTGTTTGATTAATGTTTACTTTTTTCTACAATTTTTAGTGCAACCAACAACTTGGTGGTTTAGAGAGCGGACATTATGTAATGTGATGGATGTTTGATTTCTTAACGACAAGACAACATGGATTTCCTAGTAAAGTAAGTACCTTTTTAATATTTGTTCATTTTGTTTATTGCAACAAAATATTTGGTTTGTTAATGAATATGTTTAATTTTACATTTAATATAGTCCGGTAGCATTGTGGATGATAAAAGTCCCTTTGAGGAAAAGGTGTTGCTTGCAACTGTTGCTACCTGGTCTAGAGAGTTTTTGAATAATTATATGAATGAGGTGGTCCTCTAAAAAAACATATATGGTTAGTTGTTAAATTCTAAAACTTCCTAACTTTTTTTTAATTATCTTTTGTTGGAGTTCTTACCTTTTTACTTTCATTTGTTTGTTTTTCAGGGAGGTTAGAAGAAAGAGTCATTATATTTGATTTTTTGGACAATCCTTATGCCAAGCCAAGACAAACGTTTTTTTTGTAATTGATAGTCTATAACTATTCTATTGTTATTTTTATAAAATGATACTATAAAAAATATAGGAGTGTTAAAAGGAACGGATTACTTATCTAGAAACCAGGTTCTAAGCCTATTGTGGAAAAAGGGTAAAAGTCTATTATGTCCCGGTTGTTTGTATGAACCGGTATATATTTTGTTTCATATTCCCCGGTAATATTGAAGGGAACCGGTTCTAATATTCACATGTAATTGGGACGAAAAGTGTTATATAACCCGGTTATATAAATGCAAACCGAGCTCTATTTGTAATAAAAAGACTCGGTTTAGAACTGAGTTCTATTACGGATTCCACATAGGACTCGCCAGCATCAAGCCCGGTTGCAAAACTGGCTTCTTTAAGCTATTTAATCGGGTCTTTTAACGCTTTTTGTAGTGGTGTAGTCTATTATAATGTGAAAGTTGAGCATGAGGTGTGAATGGATTTGTGTGTATTCTGTCAAAATTTATTTTATATAAATCCATTTTTCAGAATGTTTGTATTCTGTCAGAATGAATTAGTGTTTATTGATGGACTTTAATGTTTTTTGTTGCATTTGTGATAGAAATGGCTTGAATATTTTATATATATATATATATATATATATATATATATATATATATATATATATATATATATATATATATATATTCTTTCAGAATGTATTATGCCAGAATAAAATTTGTGTATTTCTGTCATAATGTATTCTAAGTATTCTGTAATATTATATTTATTCTACTAGAATATATAAAGTGATAGTTAATTGGAAGTAACATTTTTTTAACCATTATTAGTTTTTATTGTATTTGTGATAGGAATGGATGGAATAATGCGTTGAAAACCAAACAATAATAAATTGAAGAATGAATAAAGTTTGATGATATTCACAATTTAAGAATGTTGTTATTTTTTTAAAAATTTTATTCATTTTTGTTGATATTCTTTTAGAATATGTACAATTATATTAAAATGTATAAGGCATTTAGTGTGTAAGAATATGCATGAATTTATATATAAGTTCGAATGTATAAAAATATATTACAATGTTGTTATTTTTCAACCTCGGATTCAAAAAATTTATTATTGTTCAATAATATTCTAATAAAATAAAATTCTGAAAGAACCTCATTCTAACAAAAAAAAATATACTGACAAAATAAAATCGGTTATGTTTACAAATTACTTTAGAAAAAAATTGAATTAATTAAAAAAAATCAGATTTTTAAAATTAAGAGAAATTACTATCCCTCAAAATCCGAAAATTAAATTTTATAAATATAGTTAATTGTCCAAAGTACACTTTTACTAAAATTTATGTGATTATATGGTACATGTTATCCATTCTACTATCATACACCATCAAATCATGTTCATTGATTAATTTCATCCGTTGGTCTAGATCTATGTATTCTGGCACACAATAGGTATTAAAAAAAATAACCTAAGCCTATATATATATATATATATATATATATATATATATATATATATATATATATATATATATATATAGGGTTAGGTTTATTTGAGACCACCTATATTTTGTGAGACTGTAAGACACATTTTTTTATTTTTTTATTTTTTTTTAATTTTTTTTAGTTAATTCAAGTTCCGAAAATAATATTTAAAAAAAAGAATTTTTGGATTTGTCCATATATTTTGCATTTTAAAATTATTTTTTAGAACATTTACAGTGTAATATTCTATTAGAATAATTCACGTATTTAAAAAAAAAAAAAAAAAAAAAAAAAAAAAAAAAAAAAAAACGGGATTTTTTTATTTATTTTATTTTATTTAGTTAATTCAAGTTCCGAAAATAATATTTAAAAAAAGAATTTTTAGATTTTTCCATTTATTTTGCATTTTAAAATTATTTTCTAGAATATGTACAGTGTAATATTCTATTAGAATATTTCACGTATTTTTCAAAAAACAAAAAATAAGGATTTTTTTATTATTTTTTTATGTTTTTTTTTTTATTTTATTTTAGTTAACTAAAATTCCGAAAATAATATTTAAAAAAAGAGTTTTTAGATTTTTCCATTTATTTTGCATTTTAAATTTATTTTTTAGAATATAACAGTGTAATATTCTATTAGAATATTTCATGTATTTTTCAAAAAAAAAAAAAGAAACGGGATTTTTTTTTATTTTTTTTATTTTTTTATTTTTTTATTTTTTTAGTTAATTGAAGTTCCGAAAATAATATTTAAAAAAAGAATTTTTGGATTTTTTCATTTATTTTGCATTTTTAGATTTGAAAATAATTGAAACCGAACCTATATATATATATATATATATATATATATATATATATATATATATATATATATATATATATATATATAGGCTTATGTTAATTTTTTTTTACTACCAATTGTGTATAAGAATACACAGAGCTAGACCAATGATAAAATTAATATATATAATGGTTTAAATGAAAACATATCGTCACCCGACGTGTGTTGAGGCAGAATATAAAGGTGTCGCAAACACAAATGCTTACTCCAATGCACTCCGGAACCTTCTTCAAGAAATTCATGTTGATATCTGCACTGCCACCTTTGTTAGTTATGATCGGTGCCACTTGCACTTTAAATAACATCAAATTCGCTCTGAACCAAGACACAAGATTTATAGTGTTTGACACCCACTTTGTTCAGGACAAAGTTTCTACAGGCCAGGGGTTCAAGTGTTACACGTTCTTTCGAGATACTAGTTTGCTCGAACCTTCACCGATTGTCTCCTATTAATGATGTTTTCCAAATTTTGTACCAATTTGAACATTTGTGAGGGTCCTTCTCAGTGTACACGATAATTTATCTCATTTGTATTCTTTATGTGTTCTAATTATCCGGCCTACTATATTGTATATGATTATTTCATTGATTAAGGGGAACCGATTCCAGGCAAAAATACTAATTTTATTTATGAGTGGTGTGACAAGGTCCACTAAGAGGAGATATATATATATATATATATATATATATATATATATATATATATATATATATATATATCCCTACTCCTAATAAAAGAATCCATAAACCGCCACATGGCATTCTTTTACATCTCCTTTATGCCACATGTCATTACCACATATATTCTTGGAATGATTTTCCCGCCCATGCATTGTTGTGCTTGTCAATTAATCAGCTCCTAAGATTAAGGAAATCAGTTTCACTATCCAATTAAATTGCATTCAAATTACGTTTCATATATATAAACATAATTTTCAAACTTTTGTAGAGATATGCAATCACTAAAAACCAGCTAATCATAATCCTTCAACTTACAAATATCGATTCTTTATTGTTCTCTTCTTCATTGGAGTCTTCAAACCTATCACTCAAGAATTTTTCTGCATCTCTCCAAAATATCAAAGGTATATCACTTTATTCAATCAATTTGGTCGGTATACAACAAATAAATTTTACTGCTTTATGTTTTTGTTATCTACAAAACGATATCCTGCTTTATTGATTTCTTCTTCACCTTTTGTTATTGTTTCTGATTTATGCTTCTGTTACTATTATTCTTCTCCTTCTGTTACTTTTTTTTTTTTTAAGAATTTGATATGCATATATCCTCCTACTTTTATGGATATTATTTCCAATGATTTTTTCATTCTTGTGTTTGGATACAGAAAAATTTATTGGTTATGTGATTACTTTTATTATATATGTAAATGTAAATGCTACAAAGTAATGCTTTATATTAAATTTTATGTACGAATTGGGGAAT